TATCTATTAATTTATGTTGATGATATTTTAATCACGGGTAACAACAGTGTTCAGTTGTCTCAGTTCATAAAACAGCTTGGTCATCACTTTGTAATGAAAGATCTTGGGCCATTACATTATTTTTTGGGCATGGAGGTTTCACGCACGCCTTCTGCTATGTATCTCACTTAGTCTAAGTATATTATGGATCTTCTAAAGAAAACCAATATGATTGACGCCAAGCCCATCTCCACGTCAGTTTCTGTGCTAATTATTATTTAAACCTTGTTCATGGTCAGATTAGATGTCACAAAAAAAAAAAAGAGTTGGTGTATGCATGCGGTGCATGCGATTGAGGGATTTCAGAACATTGTGATATGTATCATGGCCTTTGCTGAAAGCTTCTCGATCTCAAACTGCTCCTGCTTATAACTACCTCTCATTCTTCTTCAACCTCTTTCCTTGAGCTCCATGGTACGTTTTCTTCCTCTCTCTCTCTCTACATATATATGTGTGTGCAGTGGTGGATCCAGGATTCTAACTTTGGGTAGTCCTAACCAAGGGACATTAGGCGCTAGTCCGGCAGCGGACTGGGACGCCTATGCACCTAGACGGGGTCTAGGCAACATACTAGGTTGACTAGGCAGATTTAAATAAACTTACTATACATCATATACACAAGTAAATGCATATTTACACTTACAAAAAAAACTATACTTGTATTGAGAATTTGAGGTTTATTATTCAACATTAGAACATACAAAAAAATAGAATTTTTGCTTTAGTAATTTAATTTGATGATGAAAGTGCAAGCGACTACAAGTTCATAATACATTATGAAATACATTTTAGAGGTCGTATGAATTTATAGGAATTAAAAAAAAATAACGGTGTCAAACATATGGTATAAAAATATTGATTAAGTAATACATCATCCATTTGTTAATTGAAATGCTAGGGTGGCATAGACAACAATTTAAAAAATAAAAAAAATAAAAAAAGTGAGAGTTGGTAGGTTGGAAATGAAGAGAAAAAGTCTTTCTTCTTTGTTGTAACCAAGATTCAAAAATAGCAAAGCCATGGTGGTCTTCTCTCTTCCATCACATGTTCAATCCCTTGGGTGGTCCTTATAGATTTTCATAGACGCTTCTTTGGACGTCTAGTGGTCCAAGAGTGGATCCACCTCTGGTATGTGTGTGTGCGCACGCACGCGCATATGCATGTATGTATATATGTATATATTCGTGCCAGATCAAATCTCCTTGTTGCTTTTTGTCCGTTATGCACAATCTATCTGGGTTCTTGTTGTTTTCTTGTGTGCTTTATTTGATCTCGTATTCGGAGTGCTACTTTTTTATGAGAAAAAAAGTGTTCTCTTAATAATGTTTTTATTATATATTATAATTAGAGGCCAGTGATCTTTCAAGGCTTCTAAAATAATCCTTCATATTATTACATTATAGTCTAATTCTGGTTTTAAAATGTAATACTATATATTTCTTCCTTTTTGCCATTCATTATATAGTCTCCAACATACATTGTTCCAATGGGCTTGTGGAAATTTGTCATGTGATTACAAATATGCATATGTAATTTGTTCAGGGGAGCCGAGGATGTCACGGGGTGATTGAATTTGCACAAAATGGTTGCCCCGTTTGATATCTTAAACCCGATTTCTGGTAGCAGTGTTCTTGTTGATGAGGACTTGAATGTGGCTTCATTTCAAGGCTTGGATGTAATTGGCATCTTACTGTTGAAATGGAACCAGCAAATAGCAATCCTGGGCAGCCAAGACATACTGCACCAATTTATTGGAAATGCCTTCAAGTTCAAGCCATGGATGTGGCTGCAGTTACTTTGCATTTTCCTCAAGAATTTCTGTCGACTGTAATGGTCAAGTCAGGCAATATTATTATGCCACTACTATTGTTCTGTCAGGATGAAAGGGAAGGGAGGAGGTGGCCGGAGGAAGTAAATATGGGCAAGGAGTGTGGACTAAAAATAGGAGACGTCGAAGTTAAACAAGAGTCAAAGCTCCCCCATTTCAATGAGAATTTTCCCAGGTTAGAGTGCCCATCTGCACCATGGTTGGGTTAGCTCTTCACTCATTCGTTTGCATCTAAATTCAAATTAATAAGTCCATAGTTTAGATCAGATAAATAGAATATCGTTGGAATAAAATGAACATGATTTAAGCACTTTATAATTTTGGATTTTTGCTATCTATTAATTAATTATTTGATGTTCTATTTTGATAAATAAAATAGGCTTTGGAAGAATCACATGTTGACTTGGATGAAGGGCAGATGGTACACACTCATGATCAAATCAAGTTGGCCAAGTTCAAGCCAGATGGTGACCTGACCATCACATGGAACATGCAAAGCAAGAATGGCAGTTTACATTGTCCTCTTTTTGTTGACCCCCCCTATGATCATGACCGTCAATCATCATCACGGTCATGATCAATTCCACATGGATCTTCTGGTATGGAACACTAGGATCTCTCTCTCTCTCTCTCTCTCTCTCTCTCTAGGGAGTTTCTATTTTGTTCTGCTGACGAGTTCCCCTTGGCAACTTCAAGTATTTTCTGTTCATGTGTAATAGTGCACTTGATCACACAGTCTACCCCTATTATTTTTCCTCAACTTTGAAAAACATTGGTGGCAGTTTGTATATTTCCAATTTTATTTGATTTTGTGAGCAACAATAATCTGTTTGATTTTATGCTTTAGTTTGCTGATTTTGGATTTCCTAATTTCCATTGTTTAATAAAGCGAGCTAGATGGCTTTCCTTTCAAGTTCTAAATATCCTGAATCTTCTTCTTAAAGTATATAAATATCAACAATACTCATTTCAAATCGGAGATTATTTAGTCATTCAAATATATAGAACAAGAATAAAACTCTCCATCCAACTTGGGTTTCGTTTTCCTTTTCCATGGTAACTCCTTTGCATTAATGCATTGCTGTTCGAGCGAAGATTTCTCCGGAGATGGCTCCTTGGAACTCAGCACAGCTCCCCAAGGCATTGGCACCTTGGATGTGTAGTCAAACTCGTGCTTGCTGATGTGCTGCAAGAAGAGGATAGAGTTAGTTCTGAAAGGTGCCTTTGTGGGGCCTTAGGTGTTGGCCTTGAGGCTCGCAATCAAAACTAATTGAGTGCTAGGTATGCCACTGCTATCTCAGTATAGCAGATGTAGCAGGGAGTTCGGATCTCCTTGGGCCTTAGGTGTAGGCCTTGAGGCTCGCAATCAAAACTAATTGAGTGCTAGGTATGCCACTGCTATCTCAGTATAGCAGATGTAGCAGGGAGTTCGGATCTCCTTTAAGACATTTAGCCGCTTGCTTGGTTCTTGATTGATTTTAATGATAGCCTATCCATTAAACTAATCAGATCCAGATGCAAATGAGACTCTTAAAGTAGGACAACAGGTGGACATGACTTGAATACATACTGGGGAATGCATTACGTAATATATCTACAAATTTAGAGAACAAACAAAGAGCTTCGGGCAAGATTTCACCTTATATGTTAAGGTTGAACTTGTTGCAGTCCCTTCTCTTTGTGATTACAGGGGTTTGTATGCTAAAAAGGGATGGATGGTAAATAGGTTTACACAAGAGAATCAATATTTCGCCACTAAGGGAGATAACAGAGCTTTAAACTAGAGAGAAAGATAGCTTGTCGCTAAAATGACTGAATGTGGGTTGATTTCAGCTTTTGGGTGCAAATCTGGCTTAAGAGCAGAGTTTGTATGTTTGTTTATTTGATTAGTTGAGTGTCCTTGTCTCTAGGGCCTCTTCCTCCTTTTATAGGCCAATTAGCCCGACTGCTGTGACTTTGTTCTTGCCCGAAAGCATCTAAAGCATAGTGAGTCATCAACTTTTTACTTGTATTGCCACTGAAAATTGTTTTTTGGCTGATTGTGAGTTAGTCTCCATCACTTGTCATTTATATCATAGGCACATAGTCTATGCATTAATGGGGAGGCGCCAATTTGTCTTTCGACCTGGGGCTGGGCTTCGGGCAAATCTTCTTCTAATTGCCATCTCTAGGCTTTCTCACACTTGTAGCCCAATGTTCAAATATTAACTCAAAAACCTGCAATGAGATAGATGGGAATCATGCTGCAGCATTTGTATTTGTACACAAATCCTTTTAGATTTGTCAATGCCATGAATCAATTCTTTACGTCTGTAGAGAATTTATCAGAAACGTTTATGATGTTGTAGGTTGGTTTAATATGCCAAAAAAGCGACCCTAAAAGACGCAAGAGGATGCAAAGCAAAAGGATGCCGGATCACTTCATCCTGAAGGAATCTGGGGGGAAATTCAAGTTGATCAAGCATAATTTTGTGCTTCCATTCTTAAAGAATTTCTCTTTGATTTGATGGTTAAATGTGGATAACTCTGTGTTCCAATCTTTTAAGTGAGAGATGATCACTTTGTAAGTTGTGCATCTTGTGCCTTTCTAAACAAGTTGCATATATACATATATATATGTATGTGTGTATATATATATATATATATCTTAGGAAAGATGCATACATATGTATAGAAATCTTAGGAAAGAAAGGAGAGGAGAAAGGAAAAGGGAATGTCTCTTTCCTCATGCCTTCTGTTTACAACTCCTCTAAACACAAAGGTGAAATTCATTGATATATATAACCACACACACGAGATCTTTTAATCATTTTAACCAATTGCCTATTTATTAATGTCACGAATCAAATTTTTTGTCTCTATAATTTCTATTAGTCTTTGAGCTCTAGTTTCTAACGATATAGTTAGATTTTGCAATAGCCAGCCAAAAGAAAATGCAAAGAGAAATGACACAGGCTGCGTCAGACCAAACCCAAGACAAGGCCCTTGCATGTGATGCAAGCCCTTTAGTTGGGTTACAATACAGTTTATTTATTTGCTTCAAAACCAAAGCAAATTGGTTTAATATTTTGCTTGTGTTGAATTGTAAAATATTCAGTTTGGAATGCAAATCGCTAAGAAATGAGCAACGAAATCAGTATCAACACCGAAGGGCTTCATAATCATTAAATCTACAAAATGAATCCTAAAATTCACAATTGTAAATCATTTCATTCGTAAGAGAAAGAGAAGAGAATCACAAACACCATAACTATTGAATCTAATATATGCATTAACCTAATGTTCTTTTCTTTTTCAAGCTTTCTTTTCCTTTGGTACTGGTGGGGGGAACAAAACCCTAAAAACGAAAGCAGCTACAGTTGCTCCAACAAAGGGGCCAATCCAATAAACCAAGAAAAGCTCCCAACTGTTGTGCCAATTATTTACATACGCCCACCCAAAAGCATTGGCAGGGTTCATGGAAGGTCCTGTGTACCCATTTCCGGCAACCACCAATCCAATCGTCGCGATTGAAAGCATCCATATCTTCACAATTGGATTTCTAGGCCCTCTCAGCATAATCACAAGCAAAGCAAAGCAAAGAACACAAGTCATCACCCCCTCAGCTATAATACCAGTATACAAATCCACTTTCAAAGAAGGCCCTCTAAGCATGTGCTTGTACTTATTTGGCATCACTTGTAAAATTGCCTTGGCGCCACCCACGCTGCCGGCCGCTTGAGCCGGGAACCGAACTGCCATGGAGAGGAGAGAAGTTCCCGGGTTGAGGCCGGCAGCGTAGAAACTGGCGGTGGTGGAGGGGTTGAAGCTGGCACCACCCAAGAGCTTGCCTATCAAGCTGATTGTTAAAATCAGAACTGTGGAAATTATTGTGGTGATGAAAAGACCTGGCAAAGACCTAGCTTGGATGCCAAGAAACGAGGCTATGATGGATGTGAAAACTCCCATGCTGGGTGCACAGAACACCCACATGGAGGTCAAAATTGCATCTCCTGCAGCTGCCTTGATCACCCCCATCTTATCTTTTCTTTTGCAGCTCTGCTCCTACGATTTTTCTGACCTGTATATATTGGTGGCGTCCCACTAATGTGGGAAAACAACATGTGAACTGCAAATCTCAGCCGTCCAATAAACTAGAAAAGCACTTATCAGATTGATTCGATTGGTAGAGCCTTGGAAGAAAGCACTTGTGGGCATCGTTCACCAGCCGTTCTCCTACCACTTGCTTACCTACCAAAAATATTGGAATACACGAGCAAAACGCTAACCTTTTTAAATTACGAGTGAGGTGGCTTTGAAAGCATGTATAAATAATTGACCCATTTGGTTTGGACGTTGACAGAATTGTGTCCGTATGCAGAGAGGATGGGAGTCTTTGATTAAATTGTGCAACCTTATAAAAATATGATGGAATCTTTCCGGGTCGCAAATTTGACCTTATTTTAGTTGAATAAATGGAATCCCACCAAAGTAGAGCAAATTTCAAGTTCGTATTAAATGGCGAAATTTGAATTTTACAAGAAAAAATGATATTAAAGTCGAGTTCCACAAGGAAAAGTTTGAATTTCACACACATTTTTCTCCTTGTACACTTTATTTATTTGTCACTTAATTGTCTTGTAGCTTGTCCAATCTGAAGGGATAAATCAAATCCTTAGAGTTGATGTATTCATTTTAAGTTTGATAAGTAACCAAAACATGGGTTGAAAAAGGTTGTCCCTTGCCTAAAGAGTAGTAGAATCCTAAAGTCTTTGGGCTTCCTAGCAACAATTCCATTCAGCTTGGGCTTCTATATCCATCTCTGACCACTCTATATACTTTTGGCCACCAAGTTTTAAAATTTCTCTGGACTTTTTTTATTTATTTTTTGTTGCCATTTTTATTTTTATTTTTTTATCAAACAATAGATTTGTTAGATTAAATATTATATTAAGGAGCCAATAATGTTCAAACCTACGTCATGATGCAAATGCAACACTCATCTCCAACACTGTAGTAAAGAGCCACTTACTTTTGTCATCTCTTTTTATTTATTTATGTTGGAACGATGGAAGAAAGTGCGTAACCAATAATTGAAAATATGTTTACCCAAAAGAAACTGAAAATATTAATATATAACAAACCAATTATGATGATGCTTTGGTCAAGAAGAAATATTTTTTGATGACGGCTTGGATTTTGTGAGGATACATGACCATGTTTCAGTGAATTGTTTCTTTAAAAAAAAAAAGAAAAACACTTCACTGATGAAGCTTACTTTAATCCAACCATTAAGCTCCATTGGTGTATGGAGACATGTGTCTTGGTAGGTAAAAGATCTTGGTAGGTCATCACACTCAGCTCTTCCACACTGGATTAGAGTTTATGCGGCATCCGCGTCGCACTCGTAGCTCATTGTCGTAAACGTAATTAAAATTGAGAAATTAGATTGAGAAGAAATTGATTTTTTACTGTGAGTTGAAAATTTTGATTTCAATAAATTTGAAGCAAACTCTCACAAAGAACCATAAAACTTGAATCCAATCAACGAGAGTTCAATCATTAAGCTTAATATATGAATCTCATGAATTCGGTAGTGGCCACGACTCGTAAATTAATCGACGGCCTAATTTCTCATAACCTCACCGTATGAATTACTCTAGAAGGTCTGAAACTGCATGTAACAAGGTCCCATAGAACAACCCTACTAAGGCTTGGTTTGGTATTGCTGTGCTTTGAAAAAAAGCTGCTGTGAGAATAATCGGCTGTGCTGTGAGAATAAGCGGCTGTGAAATAAAACTAGCAAAGTGTTTGGTAAACTTTTTTGTAAAAGTGCTTTTGGAAAAAAAAAACAGTATTGTGAACACGAAAGTTTCCTTGAAACAAGAAACAAGAATAACGTGTACAAAATAATATTTTGTGTTTAATGATTTTGGGGTTACGATCTCTCTCAAATTTGGTCCTCTGATTCTATCTTCGTAGGGTGTAGGTTTGTGGATGAGTTATTGATCCAAAGGGCCGTCGGGGCTTGATCTAAGGATGAACAGTTGATGAACGGATGAACACTTTCTTCAAGGGCCGTCGAGGCTTGATCTTGAATAATGGTTGTGTGGATTTCTTTAAGGGCTTTTGGGCTTGATCTTGAAGGTTGATGGATGAGCGGATCTTCAAGGGCTTTTGGGCTTAATCTTGAAGAACGATTGGATGTGTGGATTTGTTGAGGTTGTTGATCCAAAGGGCTGTTGGGGCTTGAGCTTAGGATGAACGGATGATGAATGATGAACGCTTTCTTCAAGGGCCGTTGGGGCTTGATCTTGAATAATGGTTGGGTGGATTTCTTCAAGGGCTTTTGGGCTTGATCTTGAAGGTTGATGGATGAGCGGATCTTCAAGGGCTTTTGGGCTTAATCTTGAAGAACGATTGGATGTGTGGATTTGTTGAGGTTGTTGATCCAAAGGGCCGTTGGGGCTTGAGCTTAGGATGAACGGATGATGAATGATGAACGCTTTCTTCAAGGGCCGTTGGGGCTTGATCTTGAATAATGGTTGGGTGGATTTCTTCAAGGGCTTTTGGGCTTGATCTTGAAGGTTGATGGATAAGTGGATCTTCAAGGGCTTTTGGGCTTAATCTTGAAGAACGATTGGATGTGTGGATTTGTTGAGGTTGTTGATCCAAAGGGCCGTTGGGGCTTGAGCTTAGGATGAACGGATGATGAATGATGAACGCTTTCTTCAAGGGCCGTTGGGGCTTGATCTTGAATAATGGTTGTGTGGATTTCTTCAAGGGCTTTTGGGCTTGATCTTGAAGGTTGATGGATGAGCGGATCTTCAAGGGCTTTTGGGCTTAATCTTGAAGAACGATTGGATGTGTGGATTTGTTGAGGTTGTTGATCCAAAGGGCCGTTGGGGCTTGAGCTTAGGATGAACGGATGAACACTTTCTTCAAGGGCCGTCGGGGCTTGATCTTGAAAGAGGATTTAACGAAGAACGAAGAGAGCTTTCTTGATCCTTCGGAATTCTTGGGAATTTGGATGGTTGGAAGCTTTGGAGTTTCAAAGCTTCAAGGATTTGGGGAATTCCTCTTCTAATTTTGGAGTAGAGAAATGTATTTGTGAATTCCTTGATGCTTGATACCTTGATGGAGAAACCTATTTATAGGCTTTGAGAATGAATCACCACCACAAAAATATTTTTTTCCTTTCCAAGCACCATTGCCTAATTTTCCCACTTAATGCAATATTGAAATTGAAGTGGTGTAACTTATGGCCTAATTTCCCACTTAATACCATTTTAAACTTGAAGTGGTGTAACTTATGGCCTAATTTCCCACTTAACACCATTTTAAACTTGAAGTGGTGTAACTTATGGCCTAATTTCCCACTTAATACCATTTTAAACTTGAAGTGGTGTAACTTATGGCCTAATTTCCCACTTAACACCATTTTAAACTTGAAATGTGTATGCTTTGTCATTGCCCAAATGAGAAAAACTTGCTTTGATCCGTAATGGATTGAAGTGTGCTTGCCTTGTCATTGCCCAACATGAGAAGAAAAACTTGTTTTGATCCTCAATGGATTGAAATGTGCTTGCCTTGTCATTGCCCAAAAATGAGAAGAAAAACTTGTTTAATCCTTCAAGGGTATTTCTTCCTATTTTGTTGAGTCACACGCCATGTGTACAATTTGTACAACACGTGGCGTATGCCATGTATGCCTTGACACGTCAAAACTTTAATGCATTGGTGAACATTTGTTTCACCGAAATTTCGATGTCTACAAATGCCCCCACTTCAAGGCGCGTCGTAGACATGTGCTTGTCACGTGTAGAAGATGCGTTTTGAAGTCCCTTAATGTAGATGTCAACCCAAGGGCCGTTGGGGCTTGATCTTGAATTGGGCTGGAAATTTCTTCAAGGGCCATTGAGGCTTGATCTTAAGTTCGACTGGAAGATTTTCTGGTTTCCTCCAATCGTTGATTTTCCACAGGCTTAGTCTTGAACTGGGCTGGAAATTTCTTCAAGGGCCATTGAGGCTTGATCTTGAGTTCGACTGGAAGATTTTCTGGTTTCCTCCAATCGTTGATTTTCCACAGGCTGAGTCTTGAACTGGGCTGGAGGATTCTTTTGGTCTCCCCCGAAGACGTGAACTTACTCCTTTTATCTGGAGTTGAATTTGATTCAAGGGTGGTGAACACTTGATTTTGAATTGGACTTGTGATTTCTTCAAGGGCCATCGAGGCTTGATCTTGAATTGGGCTGAAGGATTCTTTTGGTTTCCCCCGAAGGTCTGAACTTACTCCTTTTATCTGGAGTTGATTTTGATTCAAGGGTGGAGAACACTTGATTTTGAATCGGGCTTGTGATTTCTTCAAGGGCCATCGAGGTTTGATATTGAATTGGGCTGGAGGATTCTTTTGGTCTCCCCCGAAGGTCTGAACTTACTCCTTTTATCTGGAGTTGATTTTGATTCAAGGGTGGAGAACACTTGATTTTGAATCAGACTTGTGATTTCTTCAAGGGCCATCGAGGCTTGATCTTGAATTGGGCTGGAAATTTCTTCAAGGGCCATTGAGGCTTGATCTTGAGTTCGACTGGAAGATTTTCTGGTTTCCTCCAATCGTTGATTTTCCACAGGCTTAGTCTTGAACTGGGTAGCAGGATTCTTTTGGTCTCCCCCGAAGGTCTGAGCTTACTCCTTTTTTCTGTTTCTTTGTTCAATATCTCCAATTCGTATTGAAGAGGGTTAGAGGATAGCTCAGCATATGCAGTTGTAGCTTGTCTCCACATGCTTCAATGTATCATTTTCACTTGCTTTACTTGCTCCCCTTTGCAGAAGTGGTCCCTTCTCTGGAAGTGTATCAACCGTTGAAGATGACTACTCGAGAGCAACGCTAGGTAAGCAACCAGGGAATAGATTCCAGGTAGTCGGTTCCAGATCGGAAGACTGACTCCAAGTGCCGGCTGATTGCTCTTTTCACTTTGCCATGCGAGTAATAACAAGGACAAAGGAAAGGACATGGAGAAAGCATGATATAAGATACCTTTGCTTTTGAAGAAGCAGCGAATGAATCAGCACATATATTTGTTGTGCTTGT